ATGTCCTCTGTCGGTAGCGGTAGAGGGTCGGTAGATTGTAGGATAGCAGTCTCAATAAATTGTAGTGCCAGTTGAAGCGGAATACTTGTAAAAAGCGATTTCACATCAAATGACACTAGTTTGTAGTCGTCAGGTATCTGCACAGTCCTGGTGGCGTTAATGAAGTCCTCGGTGGATTTTAGTTTGCGTCTGGAATTGTCGATGAGCGGTTGTAGTATTGTCGTTAGGTACATGGACAGTTGGTATAGAACTACAGAACGAAACAATACGTCGCATTGGGAAACCAGGTTTGTGTAGTTTCTGCAGACCATAAAGTTTCGGTGGCTGTGGCACTGAGCTCCTTAGTCGGTAGTAGCGTTGGGTGTCAATGGCGTTTGTCTTCTTGAGTGTTAGTAATGTGCTATTAAATTTGCGTTGAAGCGCAGGAGTCGGGTCACGTTTGAGTTCTTCTTACGTTTGTTTGTCATTAACAAGTGCTTTCATTTTGTCGTGATAGTCAGTCTTGTCCATGACAACAGTAACTCGTCCTTTGTCGGCTGGTAGAATAACTATGTCCTTGTCGTTTCTTAATCGTTTGAGGGCATGTTGTTCGTCTTTAGTCAAGTTGCTGTCATGTAGTGACGCTGATTGTATAGTGGAAGCAATTCTACTTCTGATGTTATCCTTACTAGACTCAGGCAAAAACCTCACAGCTAGACTGACTGAACACAAATTAGCGACGAGGAAGGCGATGCCAACAATCACATTGCTGAACATCACCGACTTACGAACCACACTATTGACTGGGACTCTGCGCAATGCCTAACCTACAGCACCAACTACTTTCAACGACTGACCCTGGAAAGCTGGTTTACTAACTTGGAACAAACTCCCCTCAGCAGGTGCCAACCACTGCCGGCACCATACAAACGACTCACTCACGACATTAACATTACAAACGAACCGAACAGAACGACCTAACTTCACTAACGGATCCAAACCGACCAATCACGACTGACCTACGCCACTTGAGTCTTACAGCCAATAACATCACGGCAAAACTGACCAATCAGTTTACACAAACAGGACTAAGTTCATTCGACTGACAACAACCTTTCACTTAACTCTGATGATGACTTCCGCTCTGGTTGT